TATAAAAGGAAAACAGAAACAGGACTCCAATGGTACAGTATATAGATGAAAATTTTAATTCTAAAATAGTGAAAATAGTCTTACTCACACTTTTCAGAGCTAGAACCTAGCTCTGATATTTTGCGCGTGAAGTGGCATAATCCCCACTCAAGGATATGCAAAGTGGTATTTGATTAGAGAATTTCTAGCCCAGGTTCGGTGTTCGAATTGATATTATTCAACCCAAAACGAGAGGATAAGAATATAGTGCTCTCCGTATATAAAAAACACGTTTAAAATGTAAAGTAAATTACTCACATTTTATAGAGCAGACTTGTACTGCTCGGTATGAACGCTTGGGTGGTATAATCCCCACCTATGGATTCTTTGAGCTTCTTGTAGATGTTAGGTCAGGTGCAGAATAAAATAAAATAAAGAAAAATGGCAATAAAGTATTTTATGCCAAAATAAATTCTTTATTATAAAGTAATAAAATAAATAAGTAATATCTAAATGCGTTTCGCCTAAAGAGGCTTCTTCAAGTAGATAATAGTAAAAGGGGGCACACCTGACAAACATAGGTTTATATAACATACAATAATATTATGGGGACTTTGAAATTCCCGCCAAAATGACGTCATCGAAATATTGAATATAGTAAAAACAAAAAACAGTGTATAAAAAACATATGAATACAATAAAAAAAGAAATGAGGTGTATACAGTTAAAATAATGTAAAAATGAAGGTTAGCTATAATAGAAATAACAATAAAAGCGCGATCACATGACGCGCGGCTAGAATTACTTCCACGTCACGTGATGCTCAATGGAACGCATGCGTTCCGTCTAGTTGGAACGCATGTGTCATGAGGTGGGAGGACATTGTAGCTAAAATGTAATTTCCTTTGATGCTTTGATTGTGCTGATGACAGCAACGCCACTTTTCTCTTGCTTCTAAAGGTAGTAGGTGCCCTCCACGTCTGTGGGAGTTTTCCTCTTTTGCTTTCATAAAATGTAGTAATTTATTATTTTTGGCAGAATCCTTTTGCGCTTCATATATTTATTATATCACAGATTATCAACATTTAGTTAATCACTTATTGCTTTTAGGGTAGCAGCATTATTGTAATTTCCACATTTGATATCAGCAGTATCTATTAATTTATTTTTGCATGAGTGTAAGATCTACAGTTGTAAGAAAAAGTATGTGAACCCTTTGGAATGATATGGATTTCTGCACAAATTGGTCATAAAATGTGATCGGATTATCATCTAAGTCACAATAGACAATCACAGTCTGCTTAAACTAATAACACACAAAGAATGAAATGTGGCCATGTTTTTATTTAAGACACTACGTAAACATTCACTTTGCAGGTGGAAAAGTATGTGAACCCTTGGATTTAATAGCTGGTTGAACCTCCTTTGGCAGCAATAACTTCAACCAAATGTTTTCTGTAGTTGCAGATCAGACGTGTACAACGGTCAAGAGTAATTCTTGACCATTCCTCTTTACAGAACTGTTTCAGTTTTTCTATCAGTTCAGTATAGCAACAGTGTTGTTTTACATACATTTACTAAATACAAGTCAAACATTAGTCAGAAAAATAGCATTTATCTGCATTATTTATGTAGATAATTTGTTTATTACCTGTGTTGGGTATGACAAAAGATGTTTGAGTACTTCCTGTATGCTCACCATAAATAGTGATCCCTTTAACTCTGAAAGTGTAATGGGTTCCTAATGTGAGGTTCTTGACATGGAAGTGGTTTACTGAAGAATTTGTATTAAACTCTGTTTTAAAAGAAAAATTACATTAGGACACCACAATCACCATAGTTACAAATGAAGATTGAATATGATATGATACAGAGGGTGCCCTTATTCTTTCTCTTTTCATTATATTATCATATGTACAACAACTTGCAGGCATCTGAGTGTGTGTGTGTATACATATACACATATATATATATATATATATATATATATATATATATATATATATATATATATATATATATATATATATATATATATATATATATACACACACACACTCAGATGCCTGTAAGTTGTTGTACATATATATATATGCACACACATTCATACATCAAGCGATCTATAGCATTCAAAACTATCAATGTTGGCAGTCAACTGATAAAGAGGCACTTCATTGCACCCCCCCCCCCAAAAAAAACAAAAAAAAACAAATGCTCCTTAGTATATATAGCTCAAATTAAAGCATGCATCTCTTCTTTCTCCCCAGCCCAGACTTACTGTGAAGTATTTTCAAGGCATGTGCTCTCAGAAATTGCCTGCCTCTTGAGTTCAGTCCCACTGAGATAAACTACCAGGAAGTAGCAGGTGGATGTAACAAGGTTAGTTTATGAATGTTCTGCAATTTTTGTAAAATGGAAAAAAAGAGGACATACTTCACACATGTAGTGCCTTGCAAACGTATTCACCCCCTTTGCATTTTTCGTGTTTTGTTGCCTCAACCTGGAATTAACATGGATTGTTTGGGGATTTGCATAATTTAATTTACAGAACATGCCCCCAACTTTGAAGATTTTTTTTTTTTTTTTTTTATTATGAAGCAAACAACAAATAGGACAAAATAACAGAAAAAGTCAATGTGCATAACTTTTCACCCCCCTAAAGTCAATACTTTGTAAAGTCACCTTTTGCAGCAATCACAGCTCCAAGTCACTTTGGATGAGCTTGCCACATCTTACCACTGGAATTTTTGCCCATTCCTCCTGGCAAAACTGCTCCAGCTATTGGAGTTGGATGGTTTGTGCTTGTGAATAGCAATCTTGAAGTCTGACCACAGATTTTCTATTGGATTATGGTCCGGGCTTTGACTAGGCCATTCCAACACATTTACAAGTTTCCCCTTAAACCACTCAAGTGTTGATTGAGCAGTGTGTTTGGGGTCATTGTACAGCTGGAAGGTGAACTTCCGTCCTAGCAGAGTGGTACAGGTTTTGCTCAAGAATATCCCTGTATTTAGCACCATCGATATTTCCCTCAACTCTGACCAGTTACCCAGTCCCAGCTGCTGAAAAAACATCCCCACAGTATGATGCTGCCACCACCATGTTTCACTATGGGGATGGTGTTCTTTGGGTGATGTGATGTGTTGGGTTTGCACCAGACATAGCGTTTTCTTTGATGGCCGAAAAGTTCAATTTTAGCACCTTCCTCCATACATTTTGGGAGTCTCCCACATGCCTTTTCGCAAACTCAAAATGTGCCATTTCGTTTATTTGCTGAAAGTAATGGCTTTCTTCTGGCCACTCTGCCATAAAGCCCAACTCTATGGAGCATACGGCTTATTGTCGTCCTATGTACAGATACTCCAGTCTCTGCTGTGGAACTCTGCAGCTCCTCCAGGCTTATTTTAGGTCTCTGTGCTGCCTCTCGGATTAATGCCCTCCTTGCCCGGTCTGTGAGTTTTGGTGAACGGCTGTCTTTTGGCAGGTTTGCTGTTGTGCCATGTTCTTTCCATTTGGTTATGATAGATTTGATGGTGCTCTTGGGGATCATCAAAGATTTGGATATTTTTTTATAACCTAACCCTGACTTGTACTTCTCAACAACATTGTCCATTACTTGTTTGGAGAGTTCCTTGGTCTTCATGGCAGTGTTTAGTTACTGGTGCCTCTTGCTTAGGTGTTGCAACCTCTGGGGCCTTTCAAATAAGGTGTGTATATGTAATGACAGATCATGTGACACTTAGATTGCACACAGATGGACATCATTTCACTAATTATGTGACTTCTGAAGGTAATTGGTTGCACCAGAGGTTTTTTATGGGCTTCATAACAAAGGGGGTGATTACATACGCACATGCCAATTTTCTGTTTTCTATTTATAAAATAGTTTTATGTATATATTTTTCTCATTTCACTTCACCAACTTAGACTATAGTGTTCTGATCCATCACATAAAAGTCAAGGGGGTGAATACTTTTGAAGGCACTGTAAAGTAGTTTAGCATGCCAAAGTGCTATAGGTGTTTGGAGAATTCCTAAATATCAAGGTCGTGGTAACAGGGTCAACCCTCCTTATATATGCTCTTTTACTCAAATACAACCAAAATCAATTTTCTATGTACACTCCAGGGCTACACACTATTGCCCTTAGCGGGCCATAGAAGGGACGTGAAGGTCCTGAGTGTGCAGTCCTGATGTCTAGATATCCCAATGCATCACAAAGCCACTAGAAACCTTTTTGGAAAATATTGACCCTATTCTGAGTGTGTTTAAATCTTTTTTTTTTTTCGCATGAAATATACCTATATTCCTTATGTACAACCTCAGAGTTAAAAATACTTCATACATAGAAATAGCAATACGTTGCAAACTTAATAATTGAAATATACAAATTAAATCTCACTCACAAACGAGTTGACAAAGTGGCATTTATTGCTTTTAGGCCCAGAGAAGATCAACCTCCTGTGTGCGATAGATCATTGATGTGTGCAACTATAACAGATACCTCTGTTGCTAGAGGATAATTTTTCTTGACTTGATCGGTATACAAATCCAGCAGAACAGATTTTCCATTCTGATTCATATACCGAATAAAATATCGAACCCCGAGACCACCCATAACAGTCGTGTGCCGCTCGTTGACCCACTTGACCTCATTAACACTTATACAAACCGCAAACACTTGAACGTTCCAAGTGGTCGGCAGGGTGGCCGCCATTCTTATGGGCGAACACAAGGCGTCGGCTACCTTGTTTTGGCGAACACTTCCAGCGGTGTTTGGTCATCGAGTGTATGGAACTATTATTGGACACTCTGCGACCCGAATACCGCTGAGACTTCCATACTTATCTACGTTGGTGTATATTCATCCAATGAAAGCGGCGTTCGGAGAAACCAAACTACCAAACAAGAGGCACACGACTAGTTTCCCACAAACTGTTACTGTTGGTATTATTTTTGTATTTTTTTGTTCCAGAAAAAGACAGACCGCACAACCTGAATTTATGGAACTATTTTTCTCCACTTGAGAAAGCCCTAACGGGAGACATGCGTTGTGGAAATTTTAACTAACTGTATTTTAATAAAGGTATTTTGGCCACTTTCTTTGTTGTGAGTTAGCCATTTTATCTTTTTTACCATTTTTATTATTTTACTACCTGGCATCTGAGTTTTACTTGTTCCAGAGAGATACTACTCCAAAGCATCCTTGGTGGGGATTATACCACTTACGCCGTATCAATGAGCAGTATATCTGCCCATTTAAATGTGAGTAACCATTTGGTATTTTTATACACTCTCCTGGTTTTATCACAGTGAGAACTATTGTTTTTTATGTTACATATGGTCCCCATCTGATGAGATATCTACTTACAACACTCCCTCATGTATCCCATAAGTGGGGATTATACCACTGTACGCTGTTTATACTAGAGCTAGTTTTTAGCTCCGAAAAACGTGAGTAGGACCATATAGACCTTTTTTATTGGCTGCTACCCATTTGGCTTTTTTGCACTATTAGATTTTCTTTTCTCTTTCATACGAATCCCATGAACTCCTTGATCCCACTACTCCATAGACGTATCTACCTCAGATAGAACTGTGATTGTTCTCTCATCCCAAGCTTTTACTGGACTCTTTTTTGACTGTTATATATATATATATATATATATATACACACACACACACACACCCCTATTATTTTGTTTATTGTTCTCTCTCTGTATTATATATCATTGTTTATTTCTATATTAATACTTGCTTATATTTAATTGTACATATTATCTCTGTGGCGCCACCCTTTTCTACTTCCTTATACCTATATACCTTTAGGGCCTGTCAGGGAGCCCTATCCTTTAGGTGTGCTGCCTTTATTTAAGTTTTTAAGTGCTGACCCTTCTGTACACTTTTCACCTAATGATTTTGGGCAGGAGCCTCGTGTGCGGTTGGTCAAAAGAAGACCATGAAGATCCTGAACCTCTAAACTGATCTGGGTGATTTTTGGATATGTTACTCACCCAGATCGAGACTATCGGGGGATATACTTTTTATAGGAAGAAAGAAATCAGCGCTAGGTTGCCACACAAGAAAATAATAGTAATAAGGCTGCACTCCTCAGAGGGGAGTCCCCTATAATCCCCTGATGGTAAGAAGAAATACAAAAATAGAACAGTAAAATAAGGTTGCGCCTAAAAATACAATAAAACATATAAAATAATTAATATAGGTATTAATGTAAAATAATGTAAAATAAATAATTAGTAAACTTTTTACTACTTTATAATAAAGAAATTATTTTGGCATAAAATACTTTATTGCCATTTATTTTCTTTCTTTTTTTCACCTGACACATACTGCATATTTTATGAGAAGCCTAAAGAATCTATAGGTGGGGATTAAACCACCCAAGCACTTACACCGAGCAGTACAAGCCTGCTCTTAATAATGTGAGTAGTATATTTTATACTCTTTTATAATTTTTAACTACTTCTTCAGAGAGCACTATATTTTATCTCCTTTTTTCCTGGGTCGAATAACACCAATTCGGACGCCGAATTTTGAGCCAGATATTCGCCAATCAACTATTACTCCGCATATCCTTGAGTGGGGATTATTCCACTTCACGTGTGCAATATCAGAGCTAGGTTTAAGCTCTGAAAAGTGTGAGTAAGACTATTTTTATTTTATTACATTATTTTATTCATCTACATACTGTGCCATTGGAGTCCTGTTTCTGTTTTTTTCTATATATGCTCTACTGGATTTCAAGCATATAATTTTGAAGACCTACTCCATTTTACATCTCAGAATCCCTGTTTTCATACGTGGCACCTACCATTACGGACTTATGATAAGTGTTTTGGACTACTGCCAATTATTTATTTTACATTAATACCTATATTAATTATTTTATATGTTTTATTGTATTTTTTAGGCGCAACCTTATTTTACTGTTCTGTTTTTATATACTTTTTATGTGGTTTATGTGAGTTTTAGGGGTACTTTCAGGTTGTCTTTAAATTATATTCTTTTTCGTATGGAGATAATGAGTTGATACAGTACTAGACTAATTTATCTGTATGCTATGTGTGGGAGTGTCATGCATTGTAACACTGTTGTTAGTGGTCTGTGACTTTGTCAAACAGTCTTCCATCAGGTCCAGGTGAGAGTACCCCTTGCATGGGGATTGTCATAAAATTCCAAGTGTGGCACTATTAAAATCAGTTCACTTTACCCTCAACACGCAGCCTCGTCTCGTGATTGTAGGGAACAGCTATAACCACTAGCTCTTCTAAGAGCTGTACAGCTATACCGGATTCATAGTCTGCTTGGAGATTTCTTTGGGATTACTGCAGCGCTACTCACACTAGGGGAGAAGGACGTCTCTGGCGTTGAACACCCCTCATCTCATGGGGTGATCGCCACAGCAACTTTCCTGGAAGGATTCACCACAACAAAAATTTTGTTGTAATACTTTATTGTATCCACACAAAAATAAATAGGTAGCAACCACAACATAGTGCAAATACACATAGCAGCACATAGCCTCATAAGTGGTTCAAACATGTGACCCCAACTTAATTGTGTACCAATATAGGCTAGAGCTACTCCAGATGGGCCATAACCCCAGGAGCAAACGTAAGCACTACTATTTACAACTGTTACATAACATGAATAAAAAAATAAAAATTGTGTGCTGTTCAACTTGACAAATAGTGTGATATATATGCTATTGTAAACGTCAATACCATGCATGAAACCTCATAACACACCAATAAAATAAAGAATTAAAAAAATAAATTTAAAAAAAAATAAATAGGTAGCAAATCAAGCACTGGAAATGTCAGTCGGTTTCATAAGAGACTTGCTTCCTTGTAGGATTATGTCATGCGGTAACACTTCCGGGTTCGGCACTCCGCTGTGCGGAGCCGGACCCCGCCCCCCTCTTACGCGGCTCTAATGGTATTTAGGGAGTCAGCGCCAGAGAGAGGATGCTTGGTGATACTGGGAGCTACTTCCGCCAGACTTACCTCTCCACAGGCTCTGGCAATGTGGGTCCTACTTTCGAATATGCACACCGGCTCCGGGGACACGCCGGCTCTACAAACTCTGAAATCGTCCTAGACTTCTGGACTAAGACAAGTATACTTCATGTCATAGAGGATTACTGGAGAACGGAAACTCACTTACTTTACAAGTGGACCATATCCCTAAACTATTGGAGGACTACTCAGTTTAACCTTAAGTATATCTTTCAGCTATTTGTCTACAATATCATTTAATAATGAACTAATACTTTCTTACTCAAATCTTCATTGCTTCAAACTACTAATTATATGGAGGACATCATGCTTATTCATGCTTATTCACTATGAACTATTCTTGCTTTGCAAATATTCTTAGCTACTTGCTGAGGAGATACTTAATAATGAACTTTGTGTTGTTGATTACTTGCACTTCTTATTGGGTTATTGCCTAAATGCAATTCATGTAAGTTTAACACTTTTTAAAACTTCGGTTGAATCAAGTTACCAGTGATTCTCTCTTTTCTTAAAGCTACAGTATTGATACTTTAAAGATTCTCCGTTTCTTCACAATTGTAATTAGGGAGTATTACAAGCTGCAGTTGAGTTCCAATCCAAATCACCCAAGTAGCGTAACAGATTAATACCATCAAGCAAGTGAGGAATTGTTAAAACATTCTTATGTCCTTTGTGATTACCACAATTTCCTGCCATGGTCTTACAGTTCTATCCAGACAGAGTCACACCCTTTCAACTACTTGGAGACACTTTTGATAGTCATTCAAGGGAGCCAGTTCAGTAAAACGTCTGTTATTTATTAAACAGAACAACAGCAATAAAGGGAAGTCTAAGAGAGTAGTATTAATTACCAATCACATATTGACAACTACTAACTAACAGAATGGACAACTTTTGCATACATCATGGTATGAGCATGTAACAATCATTGATATAAAACTTATCTAGGTGGCATTACTATGTGGAGACTTCTTAGAATAGGAGGATGTAGGGGTAGTGTCTTCATAGCATAGGAGAGAAAAAAGATGGTACTGTGTCTATGACCATGTGTCTAAGACTATGTACATGAAGTTCTGGCATGGTCAGGTGCAAAACTATGTATATGACCTCATTGCAGTGTACAAGGATGTTAGTCTTATGATTCACCAGAGCAGAAATTAACCCTATCAGGTATATCACTAGAGAGTCATTTGCGAAGAAAGAGATCATAAGTTTGTAGATGCGAACTTAAAGTCTCTTGGGAAACCCACAGCCATTTCCAATGCTTAATCATTTTTATTTTTGTGTGGAAACAAAGAATTACATGATCTATTCTGGTAACGGTGAGTCATTACAGAAAAGTTGCTGCACACATCTATGATCCATCGCACACAAGGGATTGATCTTCCCTGGGCTTAATAGTAAAGAATAGTGTTTAATCCCTTCATATTTTGTGACTGAGATTTCATTTGTGTTTTTAAATTATTTATATGTATTTTACTTGTATATTTCTAGGTAAGAAGTATTTGTAACTCAGTGATTGTACATAATCAAGGTATATTTTTAGATATGTTTGTGCTCCATATTTGTTATTGTATTGATGTTTTTATTTATTTATTTGCCAGCATTCTTTATGGTTGCTGTACTTTAACTAAATATACTTGAACTTTATTAATATTTTTGCACATTGTAAATGCACTTTAAAGAATGTTACTATTTAATCTGATTGCACATTCAAAGATATTTAATTATCAAACCATTTTCATTACCTGGTTTTGGAGTAGTTGTATGAAACAATCTGGATATGAAAGTGATATTTATTTTTTGAATACATATTTGTTGTGTTTTTATTTTTTTTTACATGTCTCTGGCAGGCAATGGTCCACCAGTTCACATATTCATTTCAGTTTCTTTGTGCCCTCTGCTGTGCATGATTTCCAGCCAGAAAGGAAGCAGCACAGTAATAGAGATATAGGAAATGATAAAATAGAACACTATCTCTGCACTGATTCCGCTCCCAGTCAACTCCTATGTAAGGAGACTGGGGATAGAGAGCAATGAAAAAAAAATCCAGGGTTATAGGGCACCACATTCAGGCTGTAGCCTCCCAATATCAATGCCCCTAGTTTACACAAAGACAAAATGGGCATGTATCACCCCCTGTAAAAGTTACAATATTATTTCTACTGAAATTAAAAAAAAAATGATTATTCAAAAACTTATTTTGTGTCTTCATGAAAGTGCATTTTCAAATTGCTTTTGCTTTTGATATAGAATTAACTAACTCATGCAAGATATTGGTATTTGCACAATTATTATATGCCTTGCTGTGTTCATCAGTCTGAGAGTGAGAGTGGTGAGAGAAGTAAGAATTCAAAGTGTATCCAATGTGAATTTCCAATTTAAGGACAGAGTAACCACACTGAAAAGCAGACTTTTTCAGTGTGTCTATTTAGGCCTCTGAATTCCATAATAGTGAATAACTCTGATGGTGTGTTTCACTTTCTGGTACTAGATACACATGATGATCCAACTTAAAACAAAATAACTATAACAGAAAAAGAAAACCACTTTATTTAACCCCTTAAGGATGGCAGGTGCTTTATGAAAGATTTTTAAAAGTTAAGTGTTTCAAAACACTTTATTGATTCATTAAATTATATATCTAAATACATTTATATGTACTGTACATACACACACTATCATTCTAAGTGTATTTTAATATTAATATACATATAAGATTTTATTTGGAATGACTTATGAACCTACCTTTTGAGATATTATTTCCATGTTTTGTGGTGATTACAACCCAGGTCTTTAGAAGTCCTTGACACTGACAAAGGTTAAAGCCTTCCCATTTTAACAAAACAGAGTCAGCTGTAAGCATGATCACTGTGAGGTTGCTTGGTCCTTTGTTCATCGAAGCTGAAAAATATGTTTTAGAGTATCAATTAGTACATTTTGGTACCAAATCAGATACTAAAAACAAACCGTAAAAATCAATATTGCAAGCCATACTTAACCCATTAATGACATTGGGATTCGTTACGCCATTGTCCCCAGAGTGTTAATGGTTTTAGGATGACATGAAACATCCTATCATTTTGGTGTGAGCATGGAGAAATCTCTGCTCACGTGAAAACAACAACAATTAGACAGTAAAATTACTCTAGTGAAATGAATTCTAACCAATAAATATGGTAATAAAATATATGACAAATGCTCACTTAATTCCCCTAGAGTCTAAACATAAACCCCCAATAGATCCCAAAGGAGCACACCCAATGGAACAATCGAATACAGTGTGTTACATGTATTCAGTACATACTCATTAGAAATGAAACAAATCAGAAAAAAATATTTCTAGACAATATCCAATTTTACTCACCAGACATTAGGTCAACTGACAAAGTAGTACATAACAAATCACAAAATAGTCAGTACAACTCAAAGCATGAAAAAAGGAAAAACAGAAAATAAATGCAAAATACACAATGAAGAAAACAAAAATGTACACTCTAAAACCAACAAATTAAATGACACGTACCAAACACCTGAATCAATGCAAAAAAGTATTGAAATATATACAGTTCAAAATTAGGGAAAACCTAGAGATTAAAGGAGTCAGAATAGGTCAAGAAGACTACAAATTATCACTATATCCGGACGATGTCCTAATCTCCATTACAGATCCCGTATCATCATTGAATGAATTGATGAAAGTTATAACCGAATTTGGAAATTACTCCAATCTCAAATTGAATGTATATAAAACAACTACATTAGCAAAAAATTTAAGTAAGGAAGATAGAGGGAAGATTGTAAATAAATACGACTTCGCTTGGGCTAAGAAATATTTGCAATATCTAGGTATTAAAATAACAAGTAACCCAAATAAAATCATAGAGAACAATATTCTCCCTATGATGAAACAAATAAACAAACAACTTAAAGACTTAAGAACTGCAGAGATATCATGGATTGGGAGAATAAATGTTGTAAAATCATCCGTAACACCCAAATGGAGCTATATATTCCGCATGATACCTCTTAAAATTCCAAAACCATGTCTTATAATGATACAGACAGCTTTTGAAAAGTTTATATGGCTGAAAAAAAACCAAGGGTGAATAAAAAAATATTAAATATGAATTCAAAAAAGGGTGGGTTGGGTGTCCCAGACATTCTAGAGACATATGAGACATGCGCATTGGCTCATTTAATTATATCGTTAAAGGAGAGCTCTGCAGAGGAAGCCTGGGCAAAAATAGAAGCTAAAAGACTGGGATCTCCAGACTTATTAGCTATATTTTGGAGCCTACAAAAGAGATATAACATAAACATAGGCCTAATTATGGATAATTTATTATTGCAGTGGAAAAATTGGAAAAAGAGACTTAAGATACTGAATAAAATTATTACGGATATACCTTTGAACATTTTGACAGCCAATATAGAAGATTTAAATATAAAAACCTGGACGTCTAATGGTATTAATAATATAGATCAAATAATGCAACAAAATCTAATTATGTCTTTTGAGGAGATTAGGCAGCTATTTTCTCTTCCCTATAGAGAGAATTTTGCATATTTAAGGATAAAGCACTTTTTACACAAACATAGGGTCATAGAATCATCTGAAGGATTACATCTATTCATGAATCTAATTCTAAAAGTAATACAAATTTAGTATCACATTGTGCTAAATTATATAAATTATATAAATCAAGCCCAATATTCCCAGCCCTTGTTTCATGGGAAAAAGGCCTACAGATTACTATCACAAGAAATGAGTGGATAAATGCAAATAATGCAGTAACTAAGGCTATTCATTGTTTAAATTCAACTGAAAGTCAATATAAGATCATTAATAGATGGCACTATGTCCCCACTAAATTGGCAAAAATTTACCCATCCTCTCAATATAAGTGTTGGAGATGTGGCTCATCTAGAGCAGACTATGTCCATATCTGGTGGTCTTGCCCAAACCTAAGTCATCTATGGAATAAAGTAGCAAAATTTTGTCAAGAGGTGATAAAAGTAGATCTTGACTTTACTTTTGTAGGTGTAAGTCTTTTGTACTACATCTGGGTTGGCCTAGAATTTCAAGAAGCAAAAAAGATATAGTGATTCACATCTTAACGGAGACTAAAGCAACATTAGCGAGATATTGGAAATTATCTGATTCCCCCTTTTGGGATATGATAAAATATCAGGTCCTGAACCATTGCCAAATGTAGATTGGAATCCTGAGACAAGATAATTATACTAATTCTAGAATAGAACAATTGGAGTAATGGGTAAAAAAATTAAGCCCTACATAAGGAAAATAATAGTATCTATTATTTGATCTTGGCACAGTATATATATATTGGACATTACTGTTAAATACAAGTAGTGAATAATATCTTAAAATTGTTTTGAGAAGAATCAAAGATGATAAACTTAGTATGACAAACAACTAATGAATATAGAGACAGATTAGAAAAATGGTTTAATAACTTTATATCTTAGAGAGATAACACTGTTGATATGTTCATAAGGTTGTAAAGTTTCTATATTTTGCTTCTCTATATAAAGCCTTTTTTGGCTATTTATAGCGTATATTTTATAAAAAAAAAAAGGGGAGAAGAAAAGAGAAAGTAGGAGAAAAGGGAAAAGAAAAGGGGAAAATATCCTTTAGTAAAGCACTATCTGTCAGGATTTATAGATCTCGGCACAGTATGACTTTATGTTTGTATGTTTTTATGTTTACATGGTTTATCATAGACAGTGAATAACTATTTAAGGGCCTCTCAAGTCAAAGTGAAGATACTAAATTTGGTATGTTGTCTAATTTATAAATAAGGTGATAATTAAGGGTAATAAATTAAAAATTTGGTATCTTAGAGTGCTAGAACTGTCAGAATGTATTTATTGTTGTATTGTCTTTTGTTTATTTTTTTTAAATGTATTTATTGTCTATTGCAGGGGTTCTCAACCCAGTCCTCAGGACCCCCTACCAGTCGAGGATTTGGGGCTCTAAGGTGTTTTTTTTTTCTTTTTCTAAACACCTTAGACACACCCAGGTAATCCCTAAACCCTGGAGTGGTAGGGGGTCCTGAGGACTAACGTTGAGAACCCCTGGTCTATTGTGATAAATTTTCGAAAAATAATAAAAAATAATGAAATGAAAAAAAAAAAAGAAATACAGGGAGTGCAGAATTATTAGGCAAATGAGTATTTTGACCACATCATCCTCTTTATGCATGTTGTCTTACTCCAAGCTGTATAGGCTCGAAAGCCTATTACCAATTAAGCATATTAGGTGATGTGCATCTCTGTAATGAGAAGGGGTGTGGTCTAATGACATCAACACCCTATATCAGGTGTGCATAATTATTAGGCAACTTCCTTTCCTTTGGCAAAATGGGTCAAAGAAGGACTTGACAGGCTCAGAAAAGTCAAAAATAGTGAGATATCTTGCAGAGGGATGCAGCACTCTTAAAATTGCAAAGCTTCTGAAGCGTGATCATCGAACAATCAAGCGTTTCATTCAAAATAGTCAACAGGGTCGCAAGAAGCGTGTGGAAAAACCAAGGCGCAAAATAACTGCCCATGAACTGAGAAAAGTCAAGCGTGCAGCTGCCACGATGCCACTTGCCACCAGTTTGGCCATATTTCAGAGCTGCAACATCACTGGAGTGCCCAAAAGCACAAGGTGTGCAATACTCAGAGACATGGCCAAGGTAAGAAAGGCTGAAAGGCGACCACCACTGAACAAGACACACAAGCTGAAACGTCAAGACTGGGCCAAGAAATATCTCAAGACTGATTTTTCTAAGGTTTTATGGACTGATGAAATGAGAGTGAGTCTTGATGGGCCAGATGGATGGGCCCGTGGCTGGATTGGTAAAGGGCAGAGAGCTCCAGTCCGACTCAGACGCCAGCAAGGTGGAGGTGGAGTACTGGTTTGGGCTGGTATCATCAAAGATGAGCTTGTGGGGCCTTTTCGGGTTGAGGATGGAGTCAAGCTCAACTCCCAGTCCTACTGCCAGTTCCTGGAAGACACCTTCTTCAAGCAGTGGTACAGGAAGAAGTCTGCATCCTTCAAGAAAAACATGATTTTCATGCAGGACAATGCTCCATCACACGCGTCCAAGTACTCCACAGCGTGGCTGGCAAGAAAGGGTATAAAAGAAGAAAATCTAATGACATGGCCTCCTTGTTCACCTGATCTGAACCCCATTGAGAACCTGTGGTCCATCATCAAATGTGAGATTTACAAGGAGGGAAAACAGTACACCTCTCTGAACAGTGTCTGGGAGGCTGTGGTTGCTGCTGCACGCAATGTTGATGGTGAACAGATCAAAACACTGACAGAATCCATGGATGGCAGGCTTTTGAGTGTCCTTGCAAAGAAAGGTGGCTATATTGGTCACTGATTTGTTTTTGTTTTGTTTTTGAATGTCAGAAATGTATATTTGTGAATGTTGAGATGTTATATTGGTTTCACTGGTAATAATAAATAATTGAAATGGGTATATATTTGTTTTTTGTTAAGTTGCCTAATAATTATGCACAGTAATAGTCACCTGCACACACAGATATCCCCCTAACATAGCTATAACTAAAAACAAACTAAAAACTACTTCCAAAAATATTCAGCTTTGATATTAATGAGTTTTTTGGGTTCATTGAGAACATGGTTGTTGTTCAATAATAAAATTAATCCTCAAAAATACAACTTGCCTAATAATTCTGCACTCCCTGTATATACAGTTAAGAGAAGAGGGAGATACTACAGATCCCAACAGATAAAGCGGAAATGTTTCAGTGTGAAGCCTTGGTCACTGAGCATAATGATAACAAGTAAAGTGCTCTATATATCTGAGCATAATTACTCAATAGAATACATCTGAGTAAAATGGGCGGCCACTATACATGTGCACCTGTGAAATTTTCATTTTGTATGAATGATTTCGTACTAAATAAAAATTAAATTTGTCAATCCCGAATTTTGTCCGTAAACAATTCGTTTTCAAATGAAATTTTTTTAAAAATAATTTGTTTTCATCCATTAAGACAAAAATAGCGCTGCGCATGCACACAAAAAAAGCAAGAAGGGAGCCGGCAGTGCTACCAGCTCCCTCCTTGTAATAGAAACCATTCCTACCTCCTCATTCAATAAGGGGGGACCTAGCGCAGGTTAAATCCTCCCGCATGCCCCTACTTGTGCCAGGTCCCCCCATGTAGTAGGGGCATGTCGCCTAAACAGCACTCACTCATTTAAAACTGGATATAAAAATCAGTATCTTACATAAAAGTTCTAGAGAGCTGCGGTAAGAGTACGTGTAGCCAAAAGTTATAGCAAAAACTATAACAATGTTGCAATATGAAAAGGTAGCTATTTAGATCAGTAACACAATAAGGCTGTGCTACTGATCTACATAGCTACTTCTTACACATACTTTTACAGTAACTATCACTTCTATAGATACATTTAAATCTAGTTTTAAACGGACACTATAGTCAACAACTTCAGCTTTATGAGGTTGTTCAGGTGAGAACTATAGCTCCCTGCAGTCTTTCTCTTGTAAACACTGTATTTTCTGACAGTGTATGCCTTATCTCCACAGGAGAGTAGAATCATGGATGAGTACATCAAAGATTCCCTAAGTAAGGGCCACATACATAAATCATCCTCGCCTGCTGGTGCAGGGTTATTTTTTGTATCTAAAAAAAAAATGGAAAGTTACGCCCATGCTTGGATTACAGGGCATTGAACAAGATCACCATAACAAAATGCCTATCTCCGAATTGTTTGACAGACTCCAGGGTGCTAAAGTATTTACTAAACTTGACCTCAGGAGTGTGTACAATTTGGTAAGAATTAAGGAAGATTGTGAGTGGAAAACAGCATTTAACACTAGAAGTGTGCACTGTGAGTACCTTGTCATGCCCTTCGGGTTATGCAATGCTCCAGTCATATTTCAGGACTTTATTAATTATGTGCTCAGAAACTATATTTATTAATTTGTTATAGTATACCTGGATGATATCCTTATTTATTCCCCTGACCTTCAGACTCACCACAAACATGTCAAACAAGTGCTGCAAACCTTGCTTAAGAATAGACTTCATTGCAAACTTGAAAAAATGCATCTTTGACCAAACTGAGGTACAGTTTTTTGGGGGTATAATATTTCTGCCTCTGGTTTTCAAATGGATCCTCATAAACTTGAGGCAGTTCTACGTTGGCCATTGCCTAATGGGCTAAAAGCCATTCAAATGTTAATTGGTTTTGCTAATTATTACAGGAGATTTATCAAAGGATTCCCTTCTGTGATAGCCCCCACCACCAATATGACATGGAAGGGAGTTAGTTGTACGATATAGTCTATGGAAGCTAGAGAAGTTTTTGAACTTCTTAAAAATGTTTTGCTTCAGCTGACATTTTGGTACATCATGACACTAGCAAAACCTTCATACTGGATGTTGATGCCTTCAAAAACAGAGAGAAAGTCAGGATACCCCTTTGCATCTGTGTGCGTTCTTCTCTAGAAAGTTGTCTCTAGCAGAGCGTAATTATGATATTGGTAACAGAGAATTGTTGGCCATAATACTCGCGCTTAAAGAATGGTGACATCTTTTAGAGGGTTCCAAGGACCCCCTTTTGATCATAACTGACCACAAAAATGTGTCCTTTGTTCTTATCTCGCTTTAACTTTCTTATAACTTATAAGTTTGACATTGAATCAGAACAAGAGACATCCCCTAATGTTCCACCTGAGTGTGTCATTGTTTCCACTCTTCTTTCCTTATCACCTCTGCTTGGTGCTATCATAGAGGTTCAATCCCAGCAATAAACCTCCAGATAAATTGTTTGTTCCGTTGATTGAAAGAGAGAAGGTAATGAGGGTATTCCACAACAATGTGACTGCTGTGCATCCAGGCATTAATAAGTCCACATGCAAAAAAAAAATTCACCCTTCCTTTGATATTCGACTATAATAATAAAAACAAACATATCAAAAAGATTAACAAAAATTGGCATTTACTTAAAGAGGATCCAATACTAAGTGAAGCCCTACCAGATAAACCCACTATAATATATAGAGGTGCACCTAATCTAAAACTACAACTTACAAATAATTTCACTAGAAATCAAAACATACAAAAAAACAATTTTTTAACTATCAATAAAGGTTTTTTTTAGATGTAACACGTGCATATCATGTAGAAAAACACACAAAATGGAAAAATGCACATCAGAGTTTAAGTCTAACAGAAACAAAAAGCTCTTTAACATTAATGAAATTTTAACGTGTAATAGCAATAACGTAATCTACATGTTAGAGTGTCCATGTGGACTACAATACGTCAGCAGAACAATAAGACCATTGAAAGTAAGAATTAGTGAACACTGCCGTAATATTGAAAAAGGCTACAAAAATCACTCTGTATCTGCGCACTTTTTACAGCACAACAAAGACCCCAGCCTATTAAAATTTTTGGGTATTGCTAAATATAAACCACATTGGAGAGGGGGCGACACCAAAATAAACATAGTCAAGTTAGAAATGGAGTGGGTCTATCGTTTAGATACCCTCCACCCAAATGGACTTAATATAGAATTCGATTTGGTTCATTTCTTATAATTCATTTTGTAAAATTTATTTTTTATCACTCGTTCTATAACCCATTTTCAATGGGTGTTTATAAATTCTTTTACACCCTTTTATGCAGATACTACTGTGTTTTTATACTATTTATATTTCCCCTAGCTGTATATACATGTCCCCTTTCCATTTAAAGTATGTCCTTTTTCGATATGGCATTCTTTGAGCTCAATTTCTATCACTAGCCCATATCTAAAATGGCGGCCGGAACAGTTTAGTTTATGACACTATCAAGTAATTAATTATATCTTTTATGTCACTTATATGCTCTATGTGTATCCATTTCTGTAATTATTCAAGTTATTAGCTGATTCAATATGTTATTATGTTATTGTATACTTTTGATCTCTATTTTTGAACTTTCCACAAATTGCCCATATCCAAGATGGCGTCCGGAGAACTTCCTGTCTATGCTATCTTGCTGAAAACAGGAAATGAGGAAATACACATAGTAGAATCGATTTCCACTATCATATACTCTATGTGTGCCCACATCTGTAATTATTCACGTTTTTATCTGATTTAATATGTTATTATGTTATTGTATACCTATGATTCCTATTTTTGAACTTTCCCACAAATTGCCCACATCCAAGATGGTGTCCGGAGAACTTCCTGTCTATGCTATCTTGCTGAAAACAGGAAATGAGGAAATATGCACAGCAGAATCGATTTTCATCATCAGAGAAGGTATATAATCTCAAGGACCCCAAGCAGCAAGCATTCACTTTTGAGAAAGCTTCGGCGAAACGCGTCAAGTGAGGAAGAATTTTGGACTTTTATACAAGACTGGTTTTATAGTTTATTATTCACTTTTCACTTATTGTATTAAAGTATATATATTTTTTAACTATCCAGTCATTTCTTTTTGTCCTCCTTCCTATCCAATACTGCTTTGCTGCTATACCTGGGTCCACTATATCCCAAGGTGGGGATTATTCCACCTGAAATTCTCCAAACTAGAGCAGGTCGTTGCTCTAGTATATGTAACGAATATTTACACCTATAAATTCACCAACGGTCTTGAACCTCAAGAAATCCATAGACGGGGATTATTCCGTCCAGGCTCTTAACACCGAGCTGATATAGCTCCTCAAAGTGTGAGTGTGAATATAACACCTTTGTTCTTGTGGAATTATATCGTTCATACATACTGTACCATTATTTGTATTTTTGTTTCTCTCTTTTTTTAAGTTACTCTGCTGGCCAGTATTTCTACAAAACGTATGTACACTTTCTGATTTTTAGCGCTGTTCACCTTTCTATTTTATTTATTAATAAGTCCACATCCGCTATCCTGAGATCATTTTGGTGGGATTCACTCAGGAAAGATGTCAAGAAATATGTGAAGCCTGTTCAGTATGTGTAGTTTCTAAGGTTCCTCATAAACTTCCTTGTAGATTATTACATCCACTTCCTGTACCTAGTGTTCCATGGTCTCATTTATCCATGAATTTCATCGTGGAACTTCCTAGTTAAATAGTTACATAGCTGAAAAGAGACTTGCGTCCATCAAGTTCAGCCACCCTCACATTTGTTTTTTGCTGTTGTTCCAAAAGAAGGCAAAAAAAAAAAACAGTTTGAAGCACTTGCAACAAACTAGGAAAAATCCTTCTTGACCCCAGAATGGCAGTCAGATTAATCCTTGGATCAAGCAGCTATTACCCTACATTGAAAAACTATATCCTTGAATATTCTGTTTTTGTTTGAACATCTGTATGGACTCTGATAAAACCAGAATTCCACATCCTTATTGTTCTTACAGTAAAAAATAACTTTTCTTTGCCTTAGATTAAATCTTCTTTCTTCCAGTCTAAACGCATGACCTTGTATCCTATGTAAAGTCCGGTTTCTGACTAGATTTCCACATAATGGTTTGTATTGGCCCCGAATATATTTGTATAATGTTATCATATCCCCTCTCAGGCGTTGTTTTTCTAAACTAAAGAAGTTTAAATTTGTTAATTAGTTCTAATTGTTATACCACAATCCTTATGGTGGTTGACCGCTTTTCCATGATGGCTCATTTTGTTTATCTCTCAAAAACTTGCCTTCCTCTCAAGACCCGGTTCTTATCTTTATACAAGACATTGTCAGACATTGTCATGGTATTCCTCAAAATATTGTGTCTGACAGAGGTTCCCAGTTTGTATCTCATTTTTGGAGGGCTTTCAATAAACACTTGGGTATTGAATTGTAATTTTCTTCCTCCTACCATCCCCAAACCAATGGCACGACTGACAGGGCTAACCAATCAATGGAATTGTATTTACATTGTTTTGTGAATAGCACACAAAATGACTGGTCTGAATTATTGCCCTGGGCCGAGTTTGCCAGGAACAATGTTACCCATAACTCTTCCGGACATAGTCCATTCTTTTTCAATAACGGTCATCATCCTACTGTCCTACCAACTGTTTTTTCTGACACAGCTATCCCTGCTCTGGATGATCACCTCGCTTCTATTTGTGAGATTCGGACCAAAGTTCACTCCGCTCTCGAGTCTGCGGCTGCTCGTTTTAAGTTTCATGCTGATAAACAGCGGGGTGCCAAACCTGTTTACCAGGTGGGTGAGAGGGTGTGGTTATCATTGTGCAACATCAAACTAAAAGTTCCTAGCATGAAATTTGCCCCCAGATTCCTTGGTCCATTTTGTATCATTTGGAGAATTAACTCTGTTTCATATTCTCTGGTACTTCCTGCCTCCTTACGTCTTCCTCATACATTTCTTATTTCTTTACTTAAACCACATATTTGCAATAAGTATACTGTCCCAAGTGTGCCCCTTCCTCCATTGGTTGTTTCTGGACAGGAGGAGTATGAAGTCTCCTCCAAAATTGATTCCAGGTTTTCTTGAGGTTTTTTTTACAGTACTTGTACTTATAGCCCTGTTACTTGCAAAAAACAAAACAAAAAAAACCAAAGAACATGTTGACATTGAGTATTTCTAAGGACAAAAATGTAGAAACTATTTAGCACAGGTGTTTTTTGGCAGTTGTAGATGCGTAACAGATTTTGGGGGTCAAAGTTAGAAAAAGTGTTTTTTTCCCATTTTTTCATCATATTTTATAAAAATGTTTATAGTAAATTGTATGATATGATGAAACTAATGGTATCTTTAGAAAGACCATTTAATGGCAAGAAAAACAGTATGGGTACAGTAAATGAGTATGAGGAAAATTACAGCTAAACACAAACACTGCAGAAATTTAAAAAGAGCCCTGGTCCTTAACGGTAAGAAAATTGAAAAACGGTCTGGTCACTAAGGGGTTAAACACGCATTACTAACATTTTTTCTATACAAAACTCACATACACACATACACAATGGCACTCCATAAATGAAGCTAAAATCAAAATCCGTATTATGTGTTGTATAGCAGTGTTAGACAAAGATTACTAGTAGGGGCTGATGCAGATGAATTCACTGCAAGCATGAGGTCTAGGCTTTTAAGGACAGCCCACATTGCTATGAGAGGTTCCATATTGAATGGTAAATGGTACAGCAGAAAATGGTAAGATTTTTGTGAATACACAAAGACAAGCAGAAGACTCCCATATTACTGTAAGGAATGTTTAAAACATCTGCATCCCCCACTTGCCATATGGCAGGTTGGAAATGTGAACTAAATGATAAAAAAGAAGCTAACAAAACTAGGCAGCTATAGATGAGGCCTGTAAAAAAAATGGTGGGCACCAGGTGGGGTACTTTAAAAACAATAATGGGGGTAGACCGATCACTGTTCATCCTGATGCCAGCACCAATGGCCAGAGGGCCAGAATAATTCAGGCACCACATTTTATGAGTCAAATACAAAAAAAAAAAAAAATAGTAGATAGTAATATAATAGTAACTCACGTTTCAAATAGTATGCCATTCCAATAGTACGCTGCTGTTTGTGTATTTGATATACTGTGATGCGGTAACATTGCATTGGTTGAAAATCTAGAAAAAAAACAACAAAAACCAGAGTGAAAATGTTTTCACATTACATTTTGTACATGTCTTTTTACAGAGCAAATAATCTAGGTTTAGCCAAGCGTATTCAAAATCATTTTCAAAAAATAATTTTCTTTCACACACATGGAGCACTTGTATATTCTAAAGTATAAAAAAAAGTTTATAAAAGTAGATGTCAGTTTCCCCTCCATGTTGACAGCATGGGGAGACAAGCCACCCATGTCCAGGCTCTCTGTTGAGTTTTCAGACCAATGTTATCCACTGTGGAGTATAGAATTGTTAGTAATTGCTAGAGTAGTGGTCACTGGAGGTGACCCAAGTCTGTAATGTAAACACTGCCTTTCCTCTGAAAAGACAGTTTTTACTGCAAAAAGCCTGCAGGGACTGACTATACTTACCAATACAACTACATTAAGCTACAGTTGTTGTGGTGAATATAGTGTACCAGGTCCAGACAAGCATTCCTTTTAGTTTGTGCTTGTACAAGTTGTGACATGAAGGTGTAATTTAACAAGTTCAAAAAACCTAATTCCCTTTTCTGAACTAGTAGTACCTGTGTCCCAATTTATGTCCGGGTAATTAAAATATCCAATAATAAACGTGTTACCTAGATTTGCAGCTTTCTCAATTTGCTTAAAAATCTGTTCTTCCTCGTCAATATTAACATTACGTAACGTTAACAAATCCCAACCATTAATTGATTTCCCTCCTTTTGCCCCAAGCAGATATTTACCCATAAAGCTTCTACATTTTCCTCATCACATTCCACTTGCTTGAGATTTGGCTTTAACTCATGGTTGACATACAAACATACCCCACCACCTTTCCTATTTTTTCTATCCTTCCTAAATAGTGTGTAACCATTTAAGTTAACTGCCCAGTCATGTGTCTATTATGTCATATTGCTTAGTGTATGCTATTGCCTCTAGTTTCCCCATTTTGTTATTTAGGTTTCTTGCATTAGTAAGCATACATTTAATATTATCTGTTCTGATTTTGCCCCTCCCTCCATCGCTACCCTCTTGTACTGAGCTAAAGTCCATCTCTTTTCTGTTCTATGTCCATTTTGTAGATTACTATGTCCCCCACCACTAGTTTAAAATCTTCTCCAACCTTCTAACCATCCGGTCCTTTGGCACTATAGACCCTCTCCCGTTTAGGTGTAATCCATCATGGCTTTAAAGGTTGTACCCATGCGCAAAATCGGCCCAGTACTCTAAAAAACCCAAACCCTCCTTCCTACCCAATCTACTCTCTTAATAAGAGTCCCCTACCACCACAACCTGTCTAGCCTTCCTTACATTTTCATCCCCACCCGTACTAGAGGGGCTGTTTCCTCTAGCTGTTAGAAGGAACAACTTCCTCTAGTACAGCTACTCCTGAGCTCAGTGGCGTACACATGACCCATGGGGCCCCGGTGCGAAAATTGATCCGTGGGCCCCCCGCCCCCCCCCCGCGCGGGCCAGGCCGCAACACATGGCGGTGGGCACCTGGTCGCAGGGGTTACAGGGCTGCGACCCCTGCATGTACGCCAGTGCATGCAGATGCACACACACTTAAAGGACCACTCTAGGCACCCAGACCACTTCAGCTTAATGAAGTGGTCTGGGTGCCAGGTCGAGCTAGGGTTAACCCATTTTTTCATAAACATAGCAGTTTCAGAGAAACTGCTGTGCTTATGAATGGGTTAAGCTTTCCCCTATTTCCTCTAGTGGCTGTCCCATTGACAGCCGCTAGAGGCGCTTGCGTGCTTCTCACTGTGATTTTCACAGTGAGAGCACGCCAGCGTCCATAGGAAAGCATTATGAATGCTTTCCTATGTGACCGGCTGAATGCGTGCACAGCTCTTGCCGCGCGTGCGCATACAGCCGACGGGGAGGAGAAGAGAGAGCCCCTTTCCAGAGCCGGGCGGGAGGGGGTCCCTGAGGGTGGGGGCACCCTCAGGGCACTATAGTGCCAGGAAAACGAGTATGTTTTCCTGGCACTATAGTGGTCCTTTAAAGGACCACTACAGACACCCAGATCACATCAGCTCAATGAAGTTGTCTGGGTGTCAGGTCCTTCTAGTTTTAACCCTGCAGCTGAAAACATAGCAGTTTCAGAGAAACTGCTATGTTTCACTGAGGGTTAATCCAGCCTCTAGTGGCTGTCTCACGGACAGCCGCTAGAGGAGCACACTGAACGCCCATAGGAAAGCATTGAGTAATGAGTAATGCTTTCCTATGGGCGGTTTGAATGGGTGCGCGGTCGCATTCGGAGCTGAGAGGCTGAGGGATCCTCAGCACCAAGGGAGTCCGGCGCTGGAGAAAGGTAAGTGCTGAAGACACACACACTCTCACTTACAGACGCATACACACTAGCTAACAGACACACACATTTACTGACAGAGATACAGTCAGTGACAGACATACATACACACTCACTTACAAAACATACACTCTCATTGACAAACACACACTCACTAACAGACATCAAACAGACTCAGTAAGACACACACAGTAACACACTCACTGACACTCACTAGCAGACACACACACTAACACACTAACACTCACTAGCAGACACACACTAACACTCACTCTAACACTCACACACACTAACACTCACTCTAACACTCACACACTCACACTCACACATGATTTTTTTTTTTTTTAATATAATCCCCCCAGCCTCCTTACCTCTTGGAGTGCTGGGGGGGATTATTCCCTGGGGTCCAGTGGGGCTCCTGGGCGGGTGGCCGGTCGGGCAGGCAGGCGGGCGCGCGAAGGAGCACTCAGTGCTTCCTCTTCAGCTCCCTCGCGCGCCGCGTAGGGATGCCGGCGCTGGAAGATGACGTCATCTTCCGGCTCCGGTATCTTTGCAGTGCGCGAGGGAGCTGAAGAGGAAGCACTGAGTGCTCCCTCGCGCGCCCGCCTGCCTGCCCGACCGGCCACCCGGGGTCAGCAGGGCCAGCCTCAGGGGGGCCCTGGGGTGATCGGCTCCTGGGCCCCCCAGGGGAAGAGGCTGGCCCTGGGCGTACATACCGGGTCGCAGGGGCGGTCGGGCCCCCTGGTGGGCCGGGCCCGGTCGCAGTCGCGACCCCTGCGACCCTGGTATGTACGCCAGTGCCTGAGCTGATGCTCCCAACAACTTCACTCAAATGGGCAAATCTACTAGTTTGCACAAGTCAGGACTAGCTAGCCCTTTCCTCTTCCCTCCCCCTGCTACCTTGCCCAACTGTCAGCCAGCTACGTGCTTGATCCCCAGATGTATCTCCTCCCACTCAGTGAGCAGCAGACCCTTCTCAAGATTGTCAATCTCCCTCAATGTTGCAATTTGCTTGTCCAGATCTCCAATATGAATTTCCAGAGAAGCCACTTGCAGACACCTCTCACAGAGGCATACATGCAACAAAATGTGCATTGAGTCAAACCAGCAATCTTGCTAACACTCATTTTCCCAGTTACCATATACAGGACAATAAAACAATTACCTTGTTGGTTCAAAATCCTTGTTGGTTTAAACTCCTGTTTCTTTTAACTCCTGCTTTAAAGAGCCTACTTAACAGAGTCTGCTTTTAAGCAAATGTGAGCAAGCTGTGTGAGCTAGGGGTGTGCTTACAGTGGTGTATCTTGGTTTTGTGCTGCCCTAGGCAGGACAAAACTCAGGCGCCCCCCTCCCCCCGCGCCCCGCGCCACCCCCACCCAACCCTTCCCTCCGCCCCACCTTCTAAATACACACACACACACACACACACACACAGTCAGACACATACACACACACAGTCAGACACATACACAAACACAGTCATAGACACACACACACACACACACTCACAAACACAGTCAGACAAAAACACACACACACAGTCAGACACACACACAGACACACACACACACATACACACACTCACAAACACAGTCACACACACACTCACAAACACAGTCACACACAGTCAGACACAAACAGACACATACACACACACACAAACAGAGTCAGACACAAACACACACACAGTCAGACACAAACACACACACATTAACTTTTTTTTTAATTTAAATCCCCCCCCAACCTCCTTACCTTTGGGAGTGCTGGGGGGGGTCTCTCTCCCTGGTGGTCCAGTGGCTGCAGAGCGGGCGGCGCTGGCATGCGGGCGGCTGGCGAGGGAGCACTTCCTATGAGCTCTCTGCTCAGCTCCCTCGCGCGCCGGCTGCAGAGTGAGGCTGGGAGCCGGAAGATGACGTCATATTCCGGCTCCCAGCCTCACTCTGCGGCGCGCGAGGGAGCTGAGCAGAGAGCTCATAGGAAGAGCTCCCTCGCCAGCCGCCCGCCTGCGCCGCGCGCCCGCTCGGGATGTCAGTTAGCCGCAAGGCTAACTAGGCATTTGCCCTGGGCATTTGGGGGGAGGCGTTTTTTGCCGCCCCCTGAAAAATGCCTTGTTTGCCTCGCGGCTAATACGCCCCTGTGTGCTTATATGGGAATACAAATCCCACACAAGTGGAAATTAAGGGACACTTTCCCAACTAACTGAGCAGCAGCACAAAGGAGGGAAAGAAACAGAACACACACACACACACAAAAAAAAAACAGCTTACAGTACCCTTCACATACACTGTTCCACTACTGATAGGTGCAGTCCATAAGTAGCTATCTCAAAAGCTCTGATGTAACCCATGGCAACGCACTGCAGCCTACAGCAATGCACCTGAACACTCTACTGCTCCTTACCACATACAGTAAACAAACTGACCATGTTACACATATGCAATCCCACAACCACAAGAAGACTCCAAACACATACAATGCCTGAGGCAGTGTCCAAACACATGCACATAACTAAGTAGCCCACAAGCAAACACAGTCAAAGTGTATCATTACATTTTTATTCAATAATGAAAGGGAAAGGTGGCATTACAGCAAGGGTTATTTATCTAAACAGTATTGTGTTAACCCCTTAAGGACAGAGGACGGTTCAGGACCGTCATCGGCATTTTTGCGTTGCCGACCG